GGTCTGGGCTGCAAACCCTCCTGCCCTGGCATTGCCTAGGCCTGACTCTTGGAGTCACAGACCAGGAGTGTCTGGGAGGCACAGGGCAGCTCCATGTCTGACCCACTTAGGGACAGGGCTGATTCCCTCCTGAGACCCTCCTGAGGTTACTGGTGCTCTAGTAGCCAGGGACAGCTCCACTTTGCTCTTCCATTTCAGCCCAGGGGACTTGACTTCTCAGAGCCCCGAGGCAGGAATTAGGAAGACCAAAGGAGAAGGGACCAAAGGAGAAGGGCCGATTTCCCCGAAATTGTCATGTGACATGCATGACCCAGAGCGGAGGTTGGCAAAGCTGTTCATGCCTCTGGCCAGAGAGACTCATACTCCACAGTTATGGTTGGTGGTTGGGGAACACTGTGGGCTGGGGCAGCGGTTCACTCATTCTGTCCCCATCTGCTAGGGAGAATCATGTAGAGAGCCTAAGCCGACATGTGAAGTGCCCGAGACACAAGAATGAGACCAAGAAATGGGGTGGGGCAGGGGATGATGGGATCTTGGAGTCCAACCTCTGGGTCTCCCATCCTGCTCCCCCTGTTCACCAGCTGGGTGACTTGGGCAAGTCGCCTAGCCTCTCTGCGCCCTGGTTTGCTTACTCATAAAGTGGCCATGGTCACAGTAGCCTATTTAATTGGATGGTTGTAAAACCTAATTGAGTCTGTCTACGGAGAGCCCTTGGCACGGTGCTGTGTAGTTTTGTAGAACACCAAGTCCTATGCACATGGTGGCCGTGGTGGCACTCAGAGGACATTGTCCGTAGTGGATGAAATCCAAGCTCATATACTAAGTGACAAGAATGGGTTCTAGTTAGAATTTGGACCCAGAAGTTCTGATGCTATCAGGGGCCACCTCCTGGTAGCAAGATAGGTGGGTAGCTCTTGCAGGCCACAGGGCACAAGCGGCTTGTGGGTTTGGTCCAGCATTGCTTGGGGAGGTCTAGGGTGGGTGGGCTGGTTAGGGAGTTCTGCTACCACCTGGCTAATCACTCCCGTTTCCATTTCCCTTACAGTCTCACTACCGGCCATTCTACGTCAACAAAGGCAGCGGGATGGGATCCAACGAGGCCCCCTGAGTTCAGCGTGGAGCCCCGCAACCCCATTCTCCTGTCGCTCCCGCTTTCCAAGCTGCTGCGCACTCGCGGGGCAGGAGCCCCGCCCCACTCTGCCCTCCCACAGCTTCTGGCAGCCCCCCACCCCACCCCGGGGCACTCTGGCTTCCTCTGCTCCCCTATGGGTTCCTTTTCTGCTTGATGACATACAGTCACTGTGATTTCTATGTGTGAGGCCAAGTTGCCTAGCACAGGGTGAGAGACAGTTGGGCTCCTTTCTTGTAAACCTCTCCCAAAGCTGGTCACCAGGTCCGCTTGGTGCCAGTCTGTTTCCCCAGCCTGGGGTCTACCATGTCCAGGCTTGGTGACCATTTCCCTCCACTGTGGACGGTAGGTGCCCAGTTAAGGCAACTTCTCTGTGCCCATCTCTTGGACTCACGTTTTTATCAGTAGCCCGAGTCTGTCAGGAAGGAACCGGTCCTGTGTGTCCTCTTGGATCCCACTCACCCAAGCCTGTGTGGCCTGGCCACACCTTAGAGGATACTCTCAGCATCCTGGCTTTTTCCTGGTCCAGCTGTGAGGCTCCACCATGTCTACTTTGAGGCCGCAAGGCTGGAGAATGGGCCCTCCTGCCTGGCAAGAGGATCGTAGCCTAGATATTTCTCCACCATGGCTGGGGGTGGGGGAACGGGTCCTCTGATGACCGCAGCGCGCTCATGAAAATTTGCCCGTAGACTTTCACTCATATGGAATTGGGTACTCTTCACAGCGAGGGGCAGCAGGTGGGCTGGTAAGAGTGGTGTCGCTTGGGAGGTACCACACACATCAGGGGAGTCAGCCCCCATCCATGTCACATGTCACTAGGCTTTGAGAGGGCCAGATCAGCAGCAGCACTGGGTGTTTGGGGGCTTGTCTCCCGCTCTGGGCTGATGGGGCCGCTCGGGTCAGCTTGCAGGGGCGGGGAGGGGTACTTTTGGCTTGGGCTTTCCCCCTCCCTGAATAAACCATTTGTCTCTTTACTTCTCCGGATATGAATGAGTGGGTGGCTCCTCAGGGTCGTGGGGAGCTGGTGTCCAGTCATCCTCCCTCTTACTCCTTTGGTTTTGAGACAGGGTTTCCCTGTGTAGCCCTGGCTGTCCTGAAACTCACTCTGTAGCCCAGGCTGGCCTCAAACACACTTGCCTCTGCCTCCTGAGTGCTGGGATTAAAAGTGTGCGCCACCACCACCCAGCTCCCTCTTATATCTTGAAAACATGATGCCTTTGGGTCTAGTCTGGGTCTCTGAGGAACAGAAACCTGGAACTTGCTGAGGCACACTTTCATTAACACTGAACACGAAAGGTCGAGGCCCGGGGAGTCCTTGAGTCCCCCAAGAGCCACTGTGAGTCGTCAGATCCTCTGCCACCATGCCCTAGGGTCTTCCATGGGTGCTTCGAGCTAGTGACTTGAGCTCTGTGGAGGAGATGGACCAGAGGCATGGCCCAAGGATATTCTCCATGGAGGGGCCCTGGGTGGCAGAGGCCACAACAGAGGCTGTTCCCCTAGGACAACACTGTCCTGGGCTTGGGGTTCAGAGGAAGGAAATGACACCACCCAAATCCCTGGACCCCAGAGAGGCCTAAGGGACAGTCATGGAGGGCTTCCTGGAAGAGGTGATCAAACCAGACAGAAGCATGATGTAGCAGAGAGAGTACAAACTTGGCAAGCTTTCCCCTGGTGGGGCCTGGACATCGTACGTCTTAGCTCTAATGGTCCTTACTCTTCCTCCTACCCCAGGCTGTCAAAATGGCAATGGGGGGGGGCACTACACCACACACCACACACTGTGAAGAGCACCTAAATCAGCTTCAGCTGGTCTGCCTGGGGCAGCACCATGCCTCCTCCTCCTTCTCTGTCCCTCTGCCTATGGGGTTCGAGGGGCTTTCAGATCTCAATAGCCAGGCCTCCCATGAGGGGCCCCTGGGAACCAGGAGAAAGGAGAGCTAGAAGGGAGAAGGGGGGGGCGCAGGAGGTTCAAAGAGCTCAGGAGAGGCAGGGGTCCCGGGCCACTGCTAAGGGACCATGCCATGCCATGAGAGCCGAGAGGACAGCGTTCCCTGCACTTGGCTGCTGCTCCCTAAGCGCCAATCTTGCCACTGTTTTTCTTAAGTAACAGTCCCCAAGGAGTGTCCAGCAGGTCACCTCCCGTGCCCTTAATGCTATGAAGTCCACGGACCTTTCCTGGGACCTGTGCTTACCTGGGATGCAGTGAAGGCTCCAGAGATGCCCAGGCTCTGAGAACAGTGCTCCCCCAGGTGGCTCCCAGTCCTGGAGGGCCCCCACTGCCCGCTGCAGAGGAGGGGGTGGAATAGGAGCCAGAGTTCTCCAGGGGAAAGTCAGGGAGGGCCTGAGCCACTGCCTACCCTCAGTAGGGCTGTCACCTACAGCCCAGAGACAAGGCAAGGAGGATGAGAGCAGCGTGGCGGCCCTGGGCCCTCTGCTGGGACCCAGGTGGCAGCATCATGGAACACACCCCTGCTCCCCAGGCCATCACAGTCACCGTCTCTGGAGCTGTGACTATCAAGCAACCAGGAACCCTCTCTTCTTGGTTCCCAGGCCACCTCCCTCTGAGAAGATGACAGACCGGTGGCAGGTCCCGACACAGGGGAGGTGTCTCTCCCAGAAGCAGGATGTGTACCACTTCAGGTTCCTCTCAGACTCTGGGCTGTAGGCAGTTCTGGGTAGGACACGGAATGCCTATTAGCAGTCAGGAAAGACGGGCTTGCACTGGGGATGATAGGAAGCTCTGGCTGGGCGACTGGGAGACCTGACTTCTCATCCTGGCCCTGCCGTCTTTTCCTTGTACCTGGACGAGCTATTTACCCTCTCTGGGTCCAGCCTTTCCCAGCGTTTCCACTGGATCCGTCATTGCTGGCGTCCATCCTCAGCTGTCACCGCAAAGAGGGTTGGAAGGGGCTGGGAGATGTGCTTGGTCAAGGTAGGGACTAGAGTGGAGGCTGGGCTGGAATCCAGGTAGCCGATGCCCATCCCCAGGGCTCTCTTTCCCCAGCCCAATTACCTCTTCTTTCCTTTAGATCTGACCATCCCAGACTCAGACCTCCAGACCTTGAGTCCTCGAGCCAGGAAAAGCCTTTTCATTCAGAAGAGAAGGCTGGGGCTCTACAATCTTTGGGCCTCTCTGGGCCCCCAGGACTCAGAGCAGAATCCCGGAGGGACAATACCATTATGTCCTGGAACAGTAATTCTCACACGCGGGTAGGCTCGGGAGCTCAAACCATCTCCTGAGCAAGGCACTGGAAGAGGAGGGTATCGGGGACCCAGGGAGGTGTACAGTGATGTGTCGGGGCTTCTCTGCATGGGAGGAGCCAGGTGAGAGTGCAGAGTCAGAGCCACTGGGCCTGGGCTGGGATCCTGGCTGTTCCACATGGCAATTGCTTGACCTTGGACAAGTTGTCCCATCTACACGGAAAAAGAACTTCTACCAAAACCCTGTTTGCAAACCTTGGGAAGTGATTAATAATTGAGAGATTGTAACTTTATTATAATCACTGAAGCAACAAAGTGAACAATGACAACATCCCAACCTGGTTGCTGTTATATATTCTTTCATAATACGTTTTATTTTTTTGGAGACTCTCTTGTAGCCCAACCTGGCTTCAAACTCACTATGTATCCAAGAACGACCTTGAACTCACCATCTTCCTGCCACATGTTGGGATTACGGCACCTGGTTCTTTTTTTTTTTCTTTTTTCTTTTAGCTTTTGCATTTGGTGATGAGGAACCAATTTCTTAGCTCTAGAACTCCTGGACTCAGGCTCCTGGAGTTCTAGAACTGACCAGCAGGTGGCAGCATTTCATCATAGTTAATAGGCACAAAGCCGGGCTTCTCTGCCTAGGCTGAGGTTGAGGCTGGGGCGGCGGCGGCGGGAGTGGGTGGGGGGGCCGCGGCACGGCCTGGGTTGCTCAGCCAGTTCTTCCACAAAGGGAGCCAGCCTGATTCCCCGACTCCCTCATCATTAGCTAATCAGCCCTTCTTGTTTGATGAGGTGCGTACTGTTGGACGGCAAACCCGCAGCCTGAGCAGGAGTGAAGGACTTGCCCCTTGTCCCACTAGGGCATGCTGTAGCTGGCCCAGAGGAAGCAGGTTGGGCAGAGGATGCCCATTTTGGGGGGCTCTGCAGTGGGGCATCTGCAGGACTGGCCTGAGCAGGGGCTGCGGACATACCAGGTTCCTTAATGCAGCCCTCTGCCCATCTTTGTTTTCCCATCCCGTCTTCAAGCCGTCTCCCAAGAGTGACCGAGGCAGTTTTTGTCTTCCTGAGGATTGACTATTAAGTTTGAAAATGAGCTGTTGTTCAGCCACATAAACAAGGGAGATAAACAATAATTACTCGGTGGATGTGCCAACTTCTGGTTCGGAATCCATCACCTTGCCAAGGCTGAGGCCCAGAAGAGGCTAAGGGAGAGAAGAGGGGACTGTGGGCTGGCCCCTTTGGGGCCGGTAGATGAGGATTCTACAGGGGTACATGAGCTCAACTCTTCCCAGGTGATGAAAGGACGTCCAGGGCCTCTGAGATTCACCGGGATGGATGGATAGGGCTCTAGGGGAGGGAAGGAGACAAGGAGGGAGCGGGAGAAGGTCTTTTGCTGTGCTCATTCATGGTTATCAATACATTAATATCAGTCGGACGCACGTTTTGTTTTGTTTTGTTTTTTGTTGTTATTGTTTGTTTCCTTGATGGCCAGTCAGTCCTTAGCAGAGTCTTTCATTCCCGTAAGGTCGGTCCACTGTTACATGAAGACCTTCGGTGGAGCTGAATTGGTGGGCTGCAAGCCTACCTGCAGGAAGCTGATTCATTAGTGGGGGGCGGGGGGCTGCCTAGGGATACCTGTGTTCAGAAGGCTTCTGATGATTTTGAGGGTGAGGGCCATGTCACCAATGGCTAAGAGATATGGGAGGGACCCGATGGGTTTATCTCCTAGGCCCAGGTCAGACAGATGTACAGGGGTCTCACTGAGGGGACAGGATTGTGGACAGACATGAGACCAGAGAATAAAACTCCATTCATTCATAATTGTAGCCCGCCCTCCAGGCTGTCTGTAGCTGAGGTTCCGGATCGGCAGATTCAGCCAAAGACGGATTAAAAATGTTATGGAAAAAAAATTGCACCTGTACGGAACATGGAGACTTTTTTCCCTTGTCATTATTCTCCAAACAATACACTTATTTACATAGCATTTACATTGTATCAGATATAGGTAATTGGGAAGATTTGAAATGTGCAGGAGGATGTGCGTGGGCTATATGCAAATTCCACAGCTTTTTACACAAGTAGCTGTGTGTCTGTGGATCGTGGGGGCTGGGCACCGTAATCAATCCTTGTCAGACACCAAGGGGTGACATTCTTGGAGCCATGGCAAGAGGTAGGCACGGGAGTGGTCGGGGACTGCAGGGTGGAGGGGACCAGAATCAAGCTTTCACTGGGGGGAGGTGAGCTGATGGAGTGTGGTAAGCAGGGAGTTCAATCCAGGCTGTGGAAGGTGAGCTCTCTGAAGAGGAGACAGCCCTGTGGAGAGCCATGGCAGGAAGCTTTGGAGGGACCAGCCAGGCCTGGCATGCAGTCGGAGTTCCCTGTGTGAGGAGGACAGGGCTCAGCCCATCAGGAATCAAGGCTCCATTACAACCACATGCGGAACTGGGCTCTGGGCAAGTGCTGGGCTCTGACGGCCAAGTGCAGTGGCTGTCTCCACGGGAGGGGCTCCAAGAGGAGGACTCAGCACAGGCTGCGAGCAGAGCACCTCATGAAACTAGACAGCTGGAGAGACATCGTCCAGGAGCCCCATTGTGGAGGTGGGTGGGCAGTCAGACAAGCAAGCTGACCCATGCTGGGCAGGAAGTAGCTGCAGGCAGCGGAGGACCATAAGCAGGACCAGCAAGTGGGGGAGCAGGTCCCAGGTGCAAAGGGTGCTAGCACCGGTGAGGGGTGCTTTGTCTGGACTGCCGGGGGCTAAGGAGAATAAGATCCCAGAGATCACCCCTTGCTTGTGCCTGCATGGGAAGGAGCATGTTGGGTCAATAGAACAAGATGCTTTTTTTTTCCTTTCTGATCCTCAGTCTTCTTGTTTGCAGAATGGGACTCATACTGTGCCTCAGTGTGAGGGTTAAATAAAAGCAGGCGCTGGTGCACCAAGTGCCTTGCTCTTTGTTGTCAGGGGTGCACAGGACAAGGGTGGCCCTGTCCCTCCTTCCTCTCGCCTTCGGCTTCTGCTCACAGCTTTTGCGGAGATGCATTGGCAACTGAACTTTGCCCACGTCGGCAAAGGCCTGGCTTGTCTCCTACGTGTTGCTCGGTTGTACCTGCTGTGGCCAGCCTGAGCCTGAGCCCTTCCTTCCTCCATGGGCATGTAGCCACAGGTCCCCTGAGCTGCGTCTGGCAGGGGAACCAACCTGCAGGAGGGACAGAGGCCAGCCTTCTCCCAGAGTGCAGGGCCAGCCGCTACATGCAGGGGTGGCGGGGGTAATTAATTTACACAGTTTATCCTGCTCAGACTAATAAGCTGCTCCATCCACCTTCCCTGAGCCTGAACCTTCACGCTGAGCGTGTGTGACATCATCTCCACTCTAGGGGAGGCCCATGCGCCCTGCTGGTGTCCTTGTCTCAGCCCAGGGTCCACATTCTTGAGGCGGCTCATTTTTTGCTGCCCAAAGCCTGCTGGCCCAGGAATACCACAGAGGCTATCAAAAGATGCCAATCAACCTTGGTGCAGCCGGCTCACTGGATCTGCAGAATCTGTACCCGGGCATCTGAGCAACTGGGAAAGAAAATGACTTGAAAAAAAAACGGCATCTACATTAAACATGTGTAGGCATTTTTATCTTGTCATTAGTCCCTAAACAATAGCATCTGACACCTATTTCCATAGCGTTTGTATCGTCTAAGGCATTGAAAGTCATCTAGATGCTGTGTATAAAGGACATGCTGTTTTCTCCACAGGACTAGCTCATCCATGGAACTTGGTATCCACTGCATCCCAGAACCAGGCCTTCTTGGATTCTGAGGAACCACTGTGCACCAGCTGAAGGAAAAGTAATCACGACCCCGGGGGTTCATCCTTGGCTACTGCTCCCATTCTCTCTGAGCAGAGGCTGGCTTAGAAACAAGCGGAAACACGAGACTGTCCTCTGCATAGTGACCACCTCTGCAGAAAGTTTCGAAGCGAAGACAGAAGATTGAACAGTGTGTGTCGAATCCTGCTGTTTTGCCAAGGAAGGGGGAAAAGCATAGACACACTGGATTGGCTGAGGAGAATGACCCCCGGACAGGCACCCAGGACCATAGCTGTCCCCAGGGTAGATCTGGAAGTCACAAAGCAGGGCAGCAGGGGGACTTTCTCCTGAGGTCCTTTTGAAGTCTGTGAATATATTATGTATTCAAAAGTACCCTGAAAGGGAAATACAAATCAGATGGAGACGCCATTTGTGCAGTGTAGTGTGTGTGTGTGTGTGTGTGTGTGTGTGTGTGTGTGTCTCGGGTACCGCTTTGGGCCCGGGGAAGGGGTGTGGGAGAGTAACCTTTCCTGAGGGTGAGAGGTGAGGGACAGGTAAGGTCTAGGAGAACCAATGGGGAATTCAATGCCAGGGCAAGCCTGGGATCCTCCAGCTCACACAGGAATCCAAGTAGATGCTCGAGGTGTTTTGAAGGTAGCATAGGAGTTGCCTTGGAGGGAGGAAATGGGGAAAGATGCAGATTCCTCAGTTCCATCCCTTTTCCACTCAAGCCTGCTCAGGAGCAAGTAAGGAAAGCCGTTCCGTGACGACTGTATCCTCCAGACCCGTCTGTGAGTGGACACTTTGGGATTTAGTTCTCTGCCAGCTGCTCTGCCACAGCAAGGCTCCTCATTAGCTGAGGACAGCAGGCCAGCTCCTTCCGGCTGCTTTCCTCTACTTATGGATTCCATTTGTACGCTCCGAACCCAAATCCTGCAGGATTTAATATCCACTCTGTAATCTACTGGCACCAATAGGCATTATCTAACTAAACCTTAAATTGGAAATGCTAGGCTTCCATTTTCCCCACGCCGTCGGGAGGAGCCGGGGCTCTGTTCGTCCGATGTAATTTACTCTCGCACTAATTAAAGTGCATCACTCTGCTGTCCTCATAGGCACACACACAGCCTGCTCCCAGTGCTGGATGCAGGAGGCAAAGTGAGGACCTGGGCTGGCTCACCCAGGCTGGAGGGTGCTGCTGGCCTAGTCCCCAACTCCTTTTACTTTAGACCCACTTCATTTCCTGAGCGATCACCAGGTCACTGACTCTGTCATTCACTCATTCATTCATTCATTCATTCATTCATTCCCCTCTACATTTATTAAGCACTCATGGCAGGCACAGAAATAAAAATGTTAAACCTATGGTCAGGCTCTTCCTACCTGGCCTCTCTCCTCATTTGCCATGATGGTTTTATTTGACACAAATTCCCAGGACACATATCTTGTCAAGGAGCCCTTGGGGAATAGGCAATGTTGTCGTAGATTGTTATTCCCTGCTTGACATTGTTTCAGTAACTCCCATTTAAAAAACAAACAAGCATTAAACATTTTGTTTTGAGACAACCCACAGGTCACCATGGGAAACAGTGGAGACCCAGGATGCCCTTGGTTTCTTTCCTCCAATATTAACATTTTGCAAAACAGCACAAGATCGTGTCCAGGATGCTGATGTTGATATGGCCGAGACACAGGGCAACTTTCTCACCAAAGGATCCCGCTGGAAAAGGATCACTTTTTCACAGGCTTCCCATGTTTGTCGGCATTTCATGGTGGTAACAAAACACCTGAGAGAAACCAGCTTAAAAAGGAGAACTTTATTTTGGCCCATGGTTTCAGAAGTTTCAGTCCCTGGATACTTCTTTTGGGGTTTGGGGGTGGCAGCAATTGTGATAGAGACTAGAATCTCATGTATGGGGGACGTTGCTCATCTCACGAGGGCTAAGGGGGAGAGGGGCAGGGTCAAATGACCTTCTTCCTCCAACAGGGCTCCCCACCTCCTAAAGATCCCACCCCCTTCCCACAGCCTGTTAAACTGTGATGAGAAAGTTAAACCTGGATGAGATGGATTAACACTGATGAGGTCAACCCTCAAGATCAGTCACCTCCCAAAGTCCCACTCCGAATGCTGCTGCTTGGGAGCCAGACTGTCAGTGCCTAAGTTTTCGGGGATGGTCACGATCCAAACTAGGGTTTGCAGAGATGACTCAGTGTGTTTCGTACTCCTGCAGACAACCCAAGTGTGGTTCTCAGCATCCATGTCAGACAGCTTACAACGGCCTGTAGCTCCAGTTCTGGGGGAGCTGGCGCCCTCTTCTGTCCTTCTAGAACACCTGCACCCATGTGCGTGTACCCCTCCCTGCCAAGCCACATATACAGGTAATTAAAATTGGAACAAAAATGAATATATAAAAAAAATCCAAGCCACAATGTCCCCTTTCCTCCCTCTTCCCTGGTCTGTAGCAACCGTTCATCTGTTGTTCATGTCTATAATTTTGGGTTTTTCATAGATAGCTTCAATAGCGTGTAAGCTTTGGAGACCAGCTTGAAAAACCCATAGATCCTCACACCTTGGTGAGTGAGGCCTGGGTCACTAACCCATTTCACAGCAATGCAGGTGGCAAAGCTCCTTGAAGAGGCTGGATCCCCAGGGAGGGCCACCCTGATGGTCCTCCAGCCGCAGGCTTTCAGATGTGATGTGGACTTGCAGGTACAGCTTGGACCGATGATACTTGATTTTCCCCAAGGCAAAGGGAACTCCTGCTGCTATCAGAATGCAGCTTGGGCCTGGCCTGGCCTGTTGCCCATTCAATCCTGGGGGTGACTACATGCTCTTTGAGCCTGAATTCTCAAGGACTGGAGAGGAACTCCCATGTGGGCCCTTGCCATGGACCCCAGGAGTGATCTTACAGAGATGAAAGCGAGGCTGTAGGTGTTGGAGGTTTGGTCTGGGGCTTGGGGGTCTCTCTTGCCTTGGGTGGGTGTTTCTAGGACACTTAGGCATTGACTCACTGCTCGTTACTGTCCCCTCTAAGATCATCCTGGCCTCATAGACTGAGATGAGGGTCATATGTGCCTCAAAGTCAAGATGGGGTTGGCTCCAAAGTGGTGCAACTCAAAAAGCTAAGCAAGTACAGGACTGCAGTGTGACCAGCATGAGCAAACCCTGTGAGTACCCGCTCCCCACCTCCCCAGCCCCCCCACCCCTGCCTTCAGCCATGATCTCCACTACTTTAGGCTTGGGCCCTGGTCCTGGTGAGTGGACAGGCAGCTGCCGGGTTTCCAGAGCTACCTCACCACTGACCAGCGTCCCATCTCCTGTTGCAGGCTGGATTCATGTCCCTCGCTCTCTCTGCACACCTTGGGTATTCTCCATAGGCCTGTGGGAAGCAGCACTCCCTGGACTCAGCCCGGTTCAGGCGTGGTTGAGTGTGAGTAGGGAAGAATCTGCCCTGTCACCCGTCAGTCACCCGGTGTCACCTGTCAGTCACCCGATGTCCTCTAGAAGGCTGAACCCGGCCCCATGGGAGGAGGTTATGATAGGGACAGATAGTCTTTGCTCAACAATGAAGAATTCCGTGGCTGCTGGAGGAGGCCTACGGCAGAGCGGACTACTGTGCGAGGCAGTGGGGGCTCCGTCGGGGAAGGTATTCACTGACTCACTGGTTGTCTGCTTTGGGACCCCTCCCTGAGGTTTCACAGACAGGAGGTCAGGCCCCAGTTCTGCCACTTACCATACCACCATCCCTAGCAAGTCCTCAGTGGCTCGGTTTTCTTACCTGCCAAGTAGGGATAATGTGGTTCCTTATCTGCTTCTGTGGAAGGGGAGAAGTTGTCAGGACTGGTAGATAAATGAACTCACGGAGACTGGGACAGCACACAGGACCTTCAAAGGTTCAAACCAGACAAAGCCACAGTGCTGAGAGGGGAGGTAACTACAGTCCCAGCCATTAAAAAACAGGCCATTTGCAATTGATGCCTACTAGGAAAGGGAAGACCAGTTTTCTTCAATGGATTGACACTGGGGTATCAACTGCCCTCCAGGGTAGGCCCTACGCCCAGGAGTACTTGGCTAACTCAAAATGGACTCCGCTTTGTGTGTGTGTGTGTGTGTGTGTGTGTCTGTGTGTGTGTGTGTCTGTGTGTGTGGTGTGTTGTTTTATTTTGGTATTTCTTTGTCTTAATTGGTTTTCTTTGTCTTGTTTTGATTTTCATTTTGTTTTTGTTTTGTTTTGAGAGAGAGCAGAAAGAATATGAAATTGGGTGGATATGGAGGATCTGGGAGGAGTTGGGAGAGTTGAAAGTATGATAAGATATATTGTATGAAAAATAAAAATAACAAAGAAACAGTCCAGCACCAAGCAGACTCGGGAGCCTTGTATAAGCTGCTTGCTATGTGTGGCTCCTCCTGCTCCGTAGATGAGTCTATCATAAACACCCCAGTGTTCAGCATCTGAAGGAAAAATTGAGCCCAACTCATTCTAAGCCAGAGCTGTGACTGTCCTCCTGAACTACGGGACTGGGCTCGGCTAGACATCAAATCCGAACCAAGGGGCTTGCAATCCAAAAATCGTAAGGAACACAGCTCGCTAGTAAAAGGCAAGTGTCCAATTATATAATATGGACAAAAGCTCTGGATGTCCATCCTGCTAGGGAAGATACAAATAGCCAAAACACAACCCAAAGGAGAATCTCGGGAATTTGCCTCATCGCTGGCATCATGGGCATGAGCCAGCATTCTTGGCATTTGAAATGCGGCTTCTGGAAGTGTGAGCTCAGGCAAACATTTTACTGATGGAGCCACCTCCCAGCCTGGAACTGTACATTTTAAATGAGTGAACTATATGGTATTCTACAGCAAGAAAGCTATTAAGGGGGCTGGAGAGATGGCTCAGTGGTTAAGAGCACTGGCTGCTCTTCTAGAGGACCTGGGTTCAATTCCCAGCACCCACATGACAGCTCACAACTGTCTGTAACTCCAGTGCCAGGGCATCTGAACCTTCACACCAATGCATACAACATAAATTTAAATAAATGATTAAAAAAGAAAGCTATTAAAGGGAGAGATAAAGCCGTATCAGAACTTGAGCTGAGTGTAAGATGTGGAAGCTGGGGAGTGGTGGAGACTGTGGGGTGGTGGAGACTGTGGGGTGGTGGAGACTGTGGGGTGG